ACACTCCCTCCCTCCCTCAGGCACAGCCGCAGCTGTGTGTGCCGTCTACATGACCCACCGCAGCGACCGGGCCCACCGACAGCACCTTCCCCAAGACCCACCACCTCTTACTCCCCACCCCCCCGGCCATAGAGGGGCAACAGACACCAGCCCCTGCTAGTTTCCCTCCGAGACAACCCACATCCCCAACTCGGAATGACGCTGGCCATTCCTTCGGGGTGAAAATCCTGGGACTTTCTCCCCAAAGGAGCCCCGAAACAGTCCGGAAAACCTTCCCGTCAGGGCCGGAACATCCTCCTCAGACAAGGAGAAGCAAATGTGGTCTGGCCGGGTACAGGGTTCCCGTCTTCACCCATTCATAACCGGCCCTTAGTTACCTTTAAAACACCGGTCTCGGACCCATCCCTCTCCCCCTCAAACAGCGCGAAACTCAATTGTGTTATGATCGCTGACGCCCAGGAGCGCCCTGACGATTAAATCATTATCGTATCCTGCCTCGTTGCTGGGTTTTGTAGGGCCTGCTCTCTCACGGGATACTGCAAGCCAAGTAGGCTATTTGGCCCATCGAGTCTGCTGTGCCGTTCATTAAGGTGATGGCTGTTGGTTAATTGTTGGATTTTCCTACTGGTGATAATAAATTGAATATGGTTGGTGGGGGGAAATAAAAACACATTCATAGAGTCATACGGCACGGAAACAGACCCTTCGGCCTAACCAGTCTGTGCTGACCCTAATCCCAAACTAAACCAGTCCCACATCTGCCTGCTCCTGGCCCATATCCCTTCCAAACCTTTCCTACTTATCCAAATGTCTTTTAAACGTTGTAACTGTACCCACATCCACCGCTTCCTCAGGAAGTTCATTCCACACGAACCACCCTCTGTGTTAAAAAAAAACTGCCCCTCATGTCTCTTTTAAATATGTCGCCCCTCACCTTAAAAATGTGTCCCTCTAGTCTAGGAATCCCCCACCCTAGGGAAAAGACACCTGTCATTCACCTTATCTATACCCCTCATGGTTTTACAAACTTCTATATGGTCGCCTCTGACTGTCTACGCTCCAGTGGAAAAAGTCCCAGCCTCTCCTTATAACTCAAATTTTACAGGGAAGGCGATGGCCCGGTGATGTTATCGCTGGGCTGTTAACCCAGAGACTCAGGTAAAGTTCTGGGGACCCGGGTTCGAAACCCGATGCAGCTGATGGCGGAATGTGAATTCAGTAAAAATGTCTGGAATTAAGAATCTAATGGTGACCGTGAATCCGTTGTTGGGGAAAAACCCATCTGGTTCACTCATGTCCTTTAGGGAAGGAAACTGCCAACTTTACCATGGTCTGGGCCTACATGTGACTCCAGACCCACAGCAATGTGGTTGACTCTTAGCTGCCCTCTGGGCAATTAGGGATGGGCAATAAATGCTGCCTGGCCAACGACGCCCTCATCCCGTGAATGAATAAAGGGAAAAAAATCCCTTCCGTACACGGCAACATCCTGGTAAATCTCTCCCGAACCCCCTCTCCGGTTTAACAAAATCCTTCCTACAGCAGAACTGGGACACAGTTGCTCCAGAACGGGCCTCACCAACGTCCCTGTACAACCTCAACGTGACGCCCCCGACTCCTACACTCAAAGATCTGAGCGATGAAGGCGAGCGCGCCAAACACCTTCTTAACCCCACCCCGTGACGCAAACTTCAAGGAATTATGTCCCTGAGCCCCCCCTAGGTCTCTCTGTTCTACGACCAAATGCAACGCCTCGCATTTACCCAAATTGAACACCAACTCTCCACATGATATCCCCTCAAACCCTGCTGGTTTAAGGATTGGAGGATTTTACTTGTACTTTGATCTCCTATCAACTATGATCAATCCATGGTCCCCTTGGTTCCTATTCCTCCTGCTTCAAGAGATGACAATGCCCAGGAGAAACTTGGTTTGAGACCTTGAGGATTGATGGGGCTCTTTGGGAGTGTTCTGCAGTGGATGAGCTGAGGCAGGACGGGGGGACTATGTGAGGGACAGAGATGGCCTGGAGTGTCTTGGGAGGGACGGGTAGAGACAGGCAGAGAGGGAAGGTGAGACCGCAAAAGGTGGAGAAAGAGAGACCGAGGGAGGGAAAGAGAGAGAGAGGCTGAGACAGAGAGAGAGAGAGGGAGGGAGGTAGAGATGGAGATGGAGAGAAACGGAGACGGAGAGGAGGGAGATTGAGACAGAGAGGACGAGAGACAGGCAGAGTGGAGGCCGATGGCTGGCAGAGAGAGCTGAAGAAACAGAGACGGGTGAAGAGGGCCGTCGAAAGAGAGAGGGAGACGAGGGAGAGAGAGCCAGGGACAGTGATGGGCAGAGATAGGGGAGGGAGAGAGAGAGAGACACACACACACACACACACACACACACACCAGCTCGCTGGGTGACCGTTGGGGCAAGGATAAAAGGCAAGGAGGCAGGTTAATGTGTTTTTTTTGTCCCTGAAGAAGGGTACAGACCGGAAACGTCAGCTTTCCTGCTCCTCCGATGCTGCCTGGCCTGCTGCGTTCCTCTAGCTCTACACCTTGTTATCTCAGGTTAACATGTGGCACGTTATCAGATTGGGACTGGCCTAAGACAAACAGATCGCTGTCAACGCACAGCTCAAACAGCCTGAGGCAATCCTGACAAGGGTACAGCAGTGGGTCAAACCCAGATTAGGATCGAGCTAAACCGCTGTTATCACACGCAGCAATTTGCAGCTCTTGTTGTCCAAGTGTGGACCCCCTGCACACAACGCCATTGTAACACAGGGAACAGTAATGCACGCACAGAAAGCTGCAACGAAACAGCAACGTGATTGTCACCCAAACCAGTCTCTATTCTGTACATAGGTGGCCTGAGAGACTAAACAGAGGCTCGGAAGGTGGCAGGACACTTACAGCAGCTCGGGAGGTGCGGCACTGCCCAACTCACTCGGCACTGACCCTCCGACAGTGCCCGCTCCCTCAGCGCTGACCCTCTGACAGTGCCCGCTCCCTCAGCCCTGACCCTCCGACAGTGCGGCGCTCCCTCAGCGC